CTGTCACAGAAGTGACAATGGTCGGCTATCACCTGAAAAGCTGATTATATTGTTGAAAGAATGACACTTTTAGCAGAAAGGTAGGCCAGGCATTGGGCCACCTTATAGAAAATCTGCCCAGCTCCTCGGCGTCTGCTGTTGTATGCTTTCTTGTCGGCATGTGTCTTCTGTCCTCTGGGCTTCCAAAATTATTTTGCCTCAGAAAATCTGAACTACTCAACATGCTCCTGACTTCTTGGTGCATCTCCAACATCCGCTCTTGCATTAGAGGCCTGAAAGTAAAGTCTCCTCTTCAAGTCCCCTTGCTACTAAAAAAAACCACTCCCTAGGGAGATCCTGGTTTTGGATTTGATAGCGAAGCCTTTTACTGGAACCAGGCCTTAGTTGCAGGCTCTCTGGGCAAAGGAAGGCACTGACACTGCTATGTACTTACAGATAACTCCTACTTTTCCCTGTCTGTGGCACTGAGACCCAGATTACTCACATGCATATAGTACTGCTTTACAGAAACCAGAGCGGAAAGTGAAACGTAAAATACCTGGATTTATCACAAGATTGTCTAAAAGAGACAACAGCCATAAAGATACATGCTTCTGAAGGAGGATGGTAACAAAATGTCTTTTTTGTACCCAGAGCCCCTTGCTTATCAATGTGCCTCTTCTCTGCTCAGCCCGTGCTTGCAAGGCTGCGCAGTCAGCTTCCTGGTGTAGACCTGTAATGCAATCACCTCCTGTCAATCAGGAAAAAGACGACAGTGGTCAGCTGTCCCAGACTTATCTGTCCCCATCTGCATACCTACATGGTCCTCTAACACCAGCTTGTGTTCTAAGAGGTTACCTATCGCAACCTAGTCTTGCCACTGTGAAAACGTGCATTGCCTCCAGCGAATGATAAAAACTTTGGGTGGTGGATTTTTTTCAACTATAGATGAGTATGATGTCATCACCAAGGGGTTAAGGAACTATGCAATAAACAAGGTGATAAGTCAGGAATAAAGCCAGCTGTCTCCAGGCCATTACAGTTAAGTAGGACAAATGATCTAGTTGAAGGTGTCCCTGCCCATGGCAGGGAGGTTAGAACTAGATGATCTTTAAGGTCCCTTCCAACCAAATCATTCTATGATTCTATGATACGGTATGATATGATCAGACCGGTCCAAAAGCAGGCTGCTGGTTTGCATGCCTGTAGGCTGAATAACTGACCTTGTAAACAAGTCAACTCATACAACAGTGTACCTGGTCTGCCAAGCACTCTGACAAAGAAGCATGTTGTGATTTTTTGTGCATTTAAAGATATGACATTAGGAGAAAAACTGAAATAAGCCTCTGTGATTCAGATGAGAGAAGGGATAAAAGCAATGTAAAATTATGCAAATACAATGTTTTTCCTCTCTCTCTCTCTCTCTAGCTGCCAACAAGCTTTTAAACTTCTTTGCCATGTACTGTAGAGAGCTTCCTAAGAGGGAATCAGGACACCGCTGCAACTTTCATCTGGGTAACCAGCATGTTCATCCTGTAGCTATCTTCTTGTGCTCAAACAGCAGACCGAACATGTTCAGGTGAGTTTCTTCCCCAAAAACCTGTGTTTGCCAGTTTCCACTGGCAAGAGATGATGGTCTAAAATGTGTAAGATTAGAAAATGGGGTGAGAGGGGGCAGCTGTGGCCCAAAATTGCCCATTCTCCTAGAAGAGTAAGATTTTAAGGTGGCAGGACATTGTTTTAATACTTCTGCAACTTACCGGCTATGTTGTAGCTCCTACTGTAAAAAGTCACCTGAAATGTGACCTAGTAAAGGGAGTAGCTAGCTTTGATGGCTAGTCCAGATGTTTGGTTTTAGTGACCCACCTTTGTTAAGATTCTTAGAGAAAATACACACCAAGTTCCCCATATTCAAGACATATTCCAGGAACTTAATTCTCCTGCCTCCCATGCTTGCCCTTCTGCTCTGGTTTGTCCTGCCTCACTGGCCGCTCCTCCTTTCAGTAGTGTGATGATACTTCTGTATTCCCTTACTTCCACTTCTACATTGTTAGTGCATTTAAAGGTCCAACTGAGATATCTTTAATACTGTATTTCACTTTGTGATTAGTTGTTGTACCACAACACATTTTCTTCTGATTTATGATGAAAATGTTGTACCTTCAAGACTTCAGCAACACAAGAGGACCATGTTTCCTTTGCTGAGCTGCAGTGAGCCACTGCTAAAACTCTGTACTGCTTGGTTAATTAAACATCACTGTTGCAACATGAATTTTTGTAGAAAGGCAGATGCTATTTATTCAGGCAATATCTAACCTTGTCTTTTTTTCACCAGAAGAGAGAGCATAAATATTCCTGCAATATTGACTTTAGATACCAGGTTTCTAATCTTAGAAAAAAACTTTTAATTTTTTCCAACTTGTCTTCCTTCCTGACTCTTTGCAATCTCAGATGAGATTTGCTGTTTGTGGCTGACAGCCTGCAAAAACTATATGTCTTACATCACCTCAAAAAGGTTGCTCCTCTATTTTGGGCTTTGTTTTTTAAAAACATTTCAAAGGACAGTACAAGGGCATACATATGCTGAGAGCAGCAGGAGAATGTTTAAAAGCATATTAAAATTAAAAAGATTATTTCTGCACCCTGCTGCCTTCTTTTTGAAATTAGTCTCCACCACTGAAAAGAAAGAGGTATGCAGATCTGGAAAAAAAAACATAAACTCTTTAAATCACGTAAAAAATGCCTGAAGTAACTAACCAAAAAGTGGTGCATGTACCTCTGCAACTGTTGTGCTCCAAATATTTTCTAAACCTAAGCTTTATGTCTTAGACAGAACTTTGAATGGGCACAGCTCAGGCTCTGTGTGAGAAAAGGTTACACCAGTGAAGTTTCTGTTTTATCTACCCTTATAGACTAAGACTTCAGAGGCAAATGCACAAATTAAATACATGGAACTATTTTGTAGTTCATGTAATGGCAGGCAATCCTCTTCCATAAAATCCACCTTGTCTTACTCCCACATTGGAAACTGGTAACTACTCAGAAGCTTAGATCTAGTCCATGAAGCAGAGAAGTGCCTGTCCAGGAAAGGCCAGTAAGGTCAGTGATTTAATGAGATCACTGAGGTTACTAGCCATGAGTCATTGCTGTTTCTGTTCAGGACTAAGACCTGTGTTTGCAGCACCTGACATGCTTCAATACTCTGCGCTCAATTTTGTAACTCAACAGCCAAGCTTTACAGTGCAGCTTTAGAATAATTTCATTTTCTTGCAGTTGCAGAAATTTCCCAATACTTGTCATAGGAAGTCCATGTGTGGTCACAATAATGGCACAGAAAAATAGTATGTAATCTGATGAGATTTGATTTGATGGATTAGGTGATGCCCATGCAAAGAGTAGAGGACTAACCTAATTTTCAAGTCAGTATGACGGCTCACACACCAACGACTGTAACAGAGATATGCCTGGAGTGGGGGAAATTCAGCCGAAAGCTCTCATTCTCTTATTCAGAATGCTTTGAATGAAACAAATACATGATTCCTGGACTTTTGTGGCTTAAATTGATGAAGTTACTGATGTAGTATTTATGGTATTTTTTCCAGAAGGGGAAGGGCAGATTATTAGTAGCAATTTTCTTTAAGTCATAATTCAATTTTAGAGTGCCTCAGGCCAACCATAAAAAATATTGTTCTTTGTTTAAAATATGTTTGTTAGAAACAATACGGATAACATTGGAGGAAGTGAGTCAGAAGTCGTACTCACAAAGTCAAAACTGTATGGTCATTAGTCTGATGCAAGGCTTTACTAACATAACAGATGGAGCTTGGCCTTTGCTGTCTGGAGGGACATATGTGACTTTTATTTACACAATTTACAAAAGCAAAGTAAGTGTTCAGTTCTTGAGTTCTTGAAATTACTTTTTCCAGTGGCACAATGTTGTATCAATTCAGTCACCTGAGACAAATTAATGGTAGATGGTTTCAAAGCTATGTACCAGCAGTTAGGCCACGAGCATAAAATTGCGGACAATACAATCACATCTTCACTGAAGAAAGTGCCAAACAAACAAGGGAAATTTGCTGTGGCCACTCTGTCCACTAGAGTGACTGTCAGGTGAAGAGGACGCCTGCTTTTGTGTCAGCTGCAGCTACGCATTCTCTCTACAAACCACTCTGCATGCATGTTTTCATGATTATTACTTAGTGGCAAATAAAATGAGTAGTCTTATAAAATGACTGGACTTAAATTCCAACTGAAGATCCCTTCACCCGCCCTTGGGAGTGCAGAAAGAGAGAGTTGAGGCAGTCCCGCTTCTACATTTTTCCTTGCCTTACCAAAAAGTACTAGGAAGTCTGAGCTATTTGCAGATGGGTTGTCTACAACATAATTCATCTCCTCCCATGAAGTTCCCAGCAGAAACAACACTGCAAATCAAATATCTGACTACTTGTAAAGTGAATTCCACTGTTTTGATGCAGAAGGTGGGATTTTTCAAAGGATTCCAGTTCTCCTCCATTTGATTTGGCATTCATGGGGAATTTTGCAAGTTAACACCTTTGTTAAGCACCGTTATGGCCTGTGAAATACTTGCAAAATCCTACCTAGAACATCTGTGGTTTTGCCTTCATGCTGTGTGGTTGTTTTGTTTGAGTAGATCTCAGGATGACCTAAATCGTCCAATTGATCAAAACAACTACAGCCAAAGAGACTCAGAACTGAAATCAAACACTTAATCTGCATGTAGAAGCCACTTTTCTTCTCTGCAGTGGGCAACACCAAAATTCTTCACCTTCCTTCTCACCCTCAATCTTTGAAATCTGCCCCCTACACTTCTGCGGATGTTTGAAGATCCTCTCTCACTGAACTTTCCTACTGAAGTGCCATCAGGTGGTAACTAATTGTAGTGCAACTGCTGTTTTGCACACAGATTGCTTTCTGTATTAGAGACCATAAATTATGCAGCAGTGAAATTTGACAGGGAAGAAGAAAAGACTGAGTTCATAACAACAGACATGCTTTACCTTTGGGTCATGTATTCCTGAGAGCTCTTCATAGATCTTCTCTCCTACCATCACGGCAGCTAGGTTGGCTGTGTACGTGGACAAACAAAAGAGACAGAAAATAGCCCACAGATTCATTAAAAACCTTCCAGTCCAGCACTTGGGAGGTTTGATGGCAGCTGTTCTTCCAAACAAGATCGCATAGCAGACATTCAGGGCAGAGGAGAAAGAGAAGACTTTTTTCCTATTCCTTCCCTTGGGTGTCATCCCAAAAGGGCTTTTCCACTCATACAAGGTGAGGAATATAGCTGTGATGTGGAGAGCAACAAATATCCCCAGCCACATAGTCCAGTGAAGTGGCCACATAAAGGCTCCAATTGGAGCTGCTGTGTCTCTGGTCCTCACCAAGATGCCCAAGCTGGTTGAAAAGAAAGGGCTGGTGAAATCAATCACTTGGCTGCGGGCAGTGTTAATGCTAAATGACGTCACTGCCATGTGAGCTGTGCCAGCAAGAAGGTCTCCCACCAGCCCTGTCCAGTGGCCATTCTTCCAGGCTCCATATTTCCCATCACCAACAATGTACAAGTCAAAATCAAAATTCATATCCTCAGCTAGCTTCTCCAGCAGGTCAATGCAGTAGCCATAGCAGCACTTCTTCAGCACAATGGGAACAGTGTCATTCCCTCCTTGAAGGGTTTCAAACAGGTTATCCAGCACGGCTGAATCGTTGGTCAAAGGATCCAGGCACAGCTGCCCTGCTGGGCAATGACCTTCATCATCTACATCTCTTGTAAAGACAAATGGATGCTCAATGAGAGTTACCACTCTGAGATGCAGCCGGGTGGGGTGTTGCATGTGATTTTTATGTCTCTGGGTCTGTTCTGGCCATATCCCATAGTCCATGATTATCTTTCCTTCTTGCCAGCTCCCCAGACGAGTCCATATTGGGTTCCCAACAGGGTCATGCTGCAAATTCCAGATGAAGAAGTTGTTTTCTGAGCTGACAATGGAGGAACCTTTCACCTTAATGTGGCCACTGAGACCGTGAAAAGTTGTGTTGGCTAAAAACCTGTCGGAGGGAGAAAGCAGAGTAATCAGAAACAGACAACTGAAGTCATCATGCTAAAGCATATGCAGACACCATGAATTTATGTTTAAGAGAATGGACTGAGGACATTGTTGAACACCTGGATCATTAACAGCTTTCCCACAGCACAATGAACAAGCCACCTAGTTTATGACTAAAGCACTTGGGAATAGTCAACTACATATCTTGTCTAATGTAAAAGAAAACTCTTCAGGAAAGATATTCTTTTTACTTACTAGAAAAAGTGAGTGAGAGAACACCAATTTTTTCAGTTACCTTTGCTTCATAAATTAATGAAACATAGTTTAGTTCTAAGCTGAACTCACCAGATCTGCAGTTAGTTTCCTACATAAAAATATGTATGAAAATGGAAGAGTGGAAATTATGTATGAAATGTCCTTCCAAGAAAAATCCAGTAAGATCTACCTTACATAACAGAGGCTACTGAAGTGCTGTCAACAGCTTTCAAGCACTGTGAAGTGAACCAATCTGGATTCAAAAATGCAAATTTGGTATTGGTAAATCACTGTTAGCCACTTCAAAATGAAGAAATGGACTCAGTGAAAGATGGTTGCTCTAGGACAGTGAGGTTTAATTCTTACTGAAAAAAAAAGAAATTTCTCAAAATATGTGCAAAAGTAACGCTCTTAAAAGCACAATTTTGACATTGTAGAAGATCTCATGAAGTGTGCCAGTTTGCACTGCACATTTTGCATAGAGATTTCTGGGCTTTCAGTATTCCAGATATTCACAATAAAGTTAAGTATTTCCTTTGTATTGGGTGGCAATGTTTGCTAGTAGTTATTCTCCCTGTATGTTGAATTCAGCTTCTGGTACGTCATTATCAAAGAGAGTAGGAATGACATGGATAAGGGAGCAGAGAACTGAGCAGGAAATAAGTGTTATAAGGAGGAAATCCTTTTTAGTGTAAACACCATGACCAGGTGAACTGCAGTCTTAATGAGAAAGCTGCTATGCATTTCACAGGGGCTCTGTAAGTCTTAGTACAGTGATTCCATTAAAAACAACTGAGTTAAATTGCTGCTAATGTGATGTAAGGTAAGTCAGGCACGTCTTTTTCAGTAAGAGGCATTCAGAAGTCAGACTATTTAGCTGTCATAGTAGAATGTAACACCTCACATTAGTTCTGGGAATTGGATGAAAGTAAGTATTGAAAGAAGTATAAAGCCTATAGATGTCATTCCAGCCTCAATAAGCAAGACATAAACTTTAAGTAGTGTTAATTGTTTATCAATAGTTAGAGTGGATAAAAAATAACTGTAAATCGATTTGAAATGGATAAATCCGCAGCAAGTGTGTGTGCATGCATACTTCTGCCTGGTCTCTACCCTTTGTTTTGATGACTTTTGATGATTTTTGATGGAGTTTGAGCAGTTAAAACTCTGGACTGTGTATGTCTCAAGATTGTATCAATTTTTGTCCTCAGCAAAGAGCAAATTTCATAGAATTACAGAATGCTTTGGTTGGAAGGGACCTTAAAGATCATCTAGTTCCAACCCCCTGCCATGGACAGGGACATCTTCCACCAGACCAGGTTGCTCAAAGTCCCATCCAACCCGGCCTTCAACACTTCCAAGGATGGGGCATCCACAGCTTCTCTGGGCAACCTCTCCCACTGCCTCACCACCCTCACTGGGAAGAATTTCTTCCCAGTATCTAATCTAACTCTTCCCTCTTCCAGTTTAAAGCCATTACCCCTTGCCCTATCACTCCATGCCCTTGTAAAAAGTCCCTCCCCAGCTTTCCTGTAGGCCCCTTTAGGTACTGGAAGGCTGCTCTAAAGTCTCCCCAGAGCCTTCTCTTCTCCAGGCTGAACAACCCCAACTCTCCCAGTCTTTCTTCATAGGAGAGGTGCTCCAGCCCTTGGATGATCCTCGTGGCCTCCTCTGGACTTGCTCCAACAGGTCCATGCCCTTCTACTGTTGGGGGCCAAAATTAAAAAATACAGTTTTAAGTGTGGTTGGGTATGTGACAGTGTCACCGTTCAAGGCTGGGCCGGCACTTAAAGCGGGTGGCAGATGCTCTCTGTTAACCCCGTCCCTTCCCAGAGGGGGAAGGAGAGGAGAAAAGGGAGAGAGACTGGCGGGGTGGAACTTAAAACAAACTTTAATAAAACAGTAACAGTGAAAAAACAGTATAATAATATTAAAGCTAATATTAATAGTAATATAAATAGAGATATACAAAACCCGATACAGCTCTCCCGATGACGACCGCGGGACCGCGTGCCGCGTCTCGCAGCGCTCACCGGACGGGACAGGCACCCGAACCTCACCGAGTTCGGCTGCACCGCGGGTGGGAAACAGAGTGGGGGGTGCGTGGTCAGGGTCAGAGGCAGGACAGCGAGCAGCGTCCGCCGAGATGTCGGCCACGAGGGAGAGAGAGAAGGAAGGGGGCGAAGAAGGGGCTGACGCTTGTGATGCCTAAGCTTTTATACCCCGAGTAATCACGTGGGTGGGATGGAATACCCCATCGGTCGGTCCGGGGTCACCTGAGCCCCTGCAGTTTCCTGTGGGTGAGACCCCTCCTCCGCCTTCCCCACGAGGAGCCCAGCGGAGACCAGGAGAACAAGCCCAGACATGCAGAAATAGTTCTGTTTCAGCCAAACCAGGACAGACAGTGTTCTCTGAGATGGCTTCAAAATTCTTCTCATGCAGTCTATTTGAGTAGGTTGAATTTGGAGAAAGATGATACAACCAATACTGTCAAAAGCAATTAATCTGTACATGTGTTAACTTGGGCCTGAAAATGATGCCTAAAAATGCACACAGGTGTTTATAAATGGGACAGGCACATAAATGTGGTTCTCATCTTTAAAATTCTTTACCACTTGGTCTAATGTTAGCTACATGATACCGTAACTTCATGAATCAGTGGTGTCTGCCACTCTTTGACTAGTCCTTTCCTCCTAACCTGTTTCATATTTGGTGGTGTACTTGCATGTTTGTGTATGTAAACACTATCAAGACAAAATTTACAGGGGAAGGCAATCTTAAGCACTAAAGAAAGGTTTATGTGCTCATAAACTTATTTGTTTTTTATCTCTCCTCCTCAGCCTTTGCAAAAAATTGTGCAACTTCTTCCTTAGAAGCCTTGCTGGGCTTATATGCTGAAGCCACCACTGTGACAGTAACAGTAAAGCCATTGCATGTGCAGATGGGTCTGTATGTAAAATTTTTAAAAAATTGTTTTAACTGTGAAAAACAGTGTTAACAATTCACAAAATGCCAAAATCAAGGGAGACAGGTTCTCAGGTGGAATAAGCTAGCAAAGTTCTGATGAATTTGGGCCCGTATTGGTACTACAGCACAACTTGGATATCAAAATGCCGCAGACCAGGTGCTTTGGGAGTAGATGGAGCTACGGAATAATGCATTAGATTTATTTTCTGCAGGTAGAATGAGAACAGTGGAATTTATGCACTGTGTTCTCTGACTTTCACTGTAGAAATAAGTGTGCCCATGAGAGTGAACTGAGCCCTCTGTACCTGTCCTGTGGTTGAATTGTGCTAGAAGCAGTTACCCGAGAGATTTAGTAGCATTTAAAAGTACGACTTTGCTACTTTATTGAGTTAGTGGCTTACTTTTGCAGATGATTTGCATGTTTTATGTTTTTGGTAGTGACAGGTCATGAATCAAAATAAATGAAGGGAACCATGTGGGAGACACATTTTAACAACACCTTGTTTTATATGCAAGTGGCTATGGCTGCTAATCATTCACATACACTGTATGCAGCACTAGTGAAACTCATGCCAGGGACTTCATGTAAAAACTCCCTTACTCAATAACTTTAGGAAATAGGTAAGAGGATCTGACTACATTATTTAAACTAGCAATCTCTAGCGTGAATCTTTGGGAATTACAAGTACTGAGTATTACATGGAGACATTGGCAATATCTGAGCAACATCTTTTCAGTAGGGCTACTGACAGATTTGTATGGAAAGACAATGTGTACAAATTTCAGAATGTGAAGGGCCAGATGCTCAAGTCTGACAGCTGAATGAATTTCCCTGATGCTATGTCAATATGTGTGAGCTGATGATCACACCAATAGGCTGTGATAGCTGTATCAAAGCTTTACTAGCATCACTTCAGTTTGACTAATGAGTCCAAAGTGTGTCATTTGCTCATTTCAGCTTGCTTTGTTTTTCATGTGCTTTGTTGTAAGAACTGCTCATTAGATCTTTAGCAATACTACCATACTCCAGCAGCAGTATCTTTGTAGTACCTTTAAGAATGATTTAATTAAATTATTTCATTTTCTTTCAAGCTTGATGGCTTGGTCATTCCACATCTTTCTTGGAAAGTTTACTGGAGGCAAGAATTAGAATGGGCAAGCAAATAGCAGGCTGCTGAAATTACTCAAGAAGCAAAGCTAAATCTGTAAGACTAGTTAAAGCTGTAAGACTAATTAAAGCTATAGAACAAGATAAGGCTTTGAAATTTTAATGCATTGTTCCATCAACAAGGATGCTCCCATAAGCAGGCAGGAATAGATCAGGGAATTGATCTCATCATAAAAGGAACGAAGGATGGAAACTTACAACAGTATCATCTTCATGGGTTTGTACATCTATATCCATATCCATGTAGATGTAAGCATGCTTTGCCATGGACCAGATCTTGGTCTTGTTCACAATCATTATTCTGCTCCTGGGTGGCATTTAAATGTTTGCATAGCCAATGTATGAGTGCAGTGTTGGCAATGAAAGCTCAGGTGTCAGCTGTGCCAGCTTGTTGGACTGCTGTTTAACTATACACTGCAGTTAAGGGAGGAGAAGGTCTCTGCTGTTGTGCCTTCTCCATCCCCGCCCACAGCAGCTCCAAAGCTATGTATCAAGACAGATGGGTTCATTCAGACAGAAGAATGCCCACATTAGTAAACACTCAATTAAGCACCAGATAAAATTTTCATCTTTGGAGGCGTACCACTTGCCTAAAAGCGCACTCATGCAACGGAGAAGGTTGGTCACAGTTAAGCCACTCATTGGTACTTCACACCTGAGAAATTATTGGTACCACTCAGAGTTAAAAGTTACGTGGCTATCTCAAACACATCAGTACTGGCAATCAGATATCTGTCTTACTTATAGACACAAAAACAGCTGCAGTGATTCAGGACAAGGGTTTACCTAACCTGTTATTTTGTCTTTAATAGGCTCCACAAGCAGATGCTTAGGGAAAAAAAGGCTAAGCATGTAATCCTTTTTCTCTTCCACAATACCTTTACTGAGACAAAGGGGCAAGAAATTTCACAGATGTCAAATTCATATTGTCTCCCAAAATATAACAAAGGTTACAGCAGTCACTGTTTATGAGAGAGCTAATAAGTTTCTGTGGAAAGCAATGCTGAAGAAATATTTTTCAGGAACACTTTTAAGAGCTTTAATTTTGCTTTCCTTTTGTTTGTCCCTTCTTTAACCCTCAAAAAGTGTGTTCGTACAACTACTGTCCTCAAATATTTGTTACTTTAAGAAGTCTCTTGCTGAGTTTTACGTTTAAGGGACCTAGGTATGATCTCGTTAAAATAGCCAGCATAATGAGACAAATCTAATATCACAAGTCAGTAGAGATATTGCAAGCCAGTGCAGTATCGCAGTATTTATTTCCAAGCCTTGTTCCACTCTTTGGAAACAGGGGGGTTTTGGCCCCTAAGCTACGGATGAATCCTGACTAAAGACTCAAATAGTTGTGTTTTGAGCACTGCTGTTACCACATTATTGTGAAGACACATCTCGGATATCATTTCAAAAAAAGTTGCAAAGATAGAAAAAGCTTCAAGAACTTTTATCCTAACTCTATCCAACAAAATCTGTAGGCTGAAAACCAGGTGTAATGGGGGGGAAAACATGCAACAGTCACTGGATGTATACTAGCTGATGAATTCAGATACTTACCAAAGACCTTTTTGTTTGTTTTCAAAATGAACCATGCAATTTTTCCTCTCATATGTTAAAATCCAGAATATTTGTAGACATGAATCCCCAAGCGGTTTTGGGAATAACTTCAGTATTGTGACATGCAGTGGTCTACACAAATAGTTTTAGAAGAAGCTGAAAGAGGAGCCTCCAACACCAAGCAACAGAGAGAGCACTTTGTAGTTTTGAGTGCTCTCACCGCAGCAGGGGCCTCTGAGGTGGTCAAGGTGCATCTTTTTTGTTTATTTTCCATGCAAGCATACTAAAAAGGGCTACACATCTTTTATACTCTCCAATTACTTTGGGAGAGCAAATATTCTGTGTTTTGTATTCTCCCAGGTATCTCAAACCTCAGAGACTCTGATACTAGCCCTGACTTTTCCTTCTTACACGCATAAACATAAATACAAGATACTCTTAGAGCACAGTCTGTAACCTAGCCTATGTTTACTATGTGATCTCTACTTCTGTGGAACTTCTGTACAACTGGCTTAATCTCCCTCTGTGGCTAAGTTTAAGTTTCATTATTTGCCCAGAAGTAATGAAGCAGGAGGAAATACTGAAACAAGTATGCGTATGAGGGAGGGTTAACAGCATGATAGCTAAGCCACTGAGAATGGTGGGGAGGAAAATAATTTTTCTTGTATACCACAAATATTAGCTACAAAAAAAGAAAAAAAGGAAAAACTTACTTTGACAAATATTGCCCTGAAGTGATATTCCTTTCATCTGTGTCCATGCAATTCATTGTACTTGGAATAAGAGCTAGTTCAGGTTGAATCATGCTGGCTGCTGCTACAGCTCTTGCTACCAGCTCCATTGCATCCTGTACGTAATGCTCAAAGACTGAGTGTGTTGTCTTGCCATGAGCAATGAGACCGAGAGGCAAACCTTCTGTCCTCAGTTCTTCCACATTCTGTGAATCCCCAATAATCCAGTGAAGTTCTGGAGGCATCACACCAAACTGGGTGGTTATTTCAAAAATCCTCCGTGTTTTTTCCATGTCACATCCAAACATCACCATGGTAGATGTTGTGTCTTTGATGCTCTCCATGTAAAACTGTAAGTAGTTCAGAAGGTCACTGGTTGAAGTGAGGTTTGCTGTGATGTTTATAATGGATCCTAGATGGAACTTGGAGCTCTGTTGTGTGAGGAAGAGAAAATCTGTGATGTTCCACTCCTCCTGGCATAGCATCAGGCTGAAATTGTACCAGTTGTTCATCGCAAGGATCGAGAAAGTGACATCAGCATCAGAACTCAGTGAGTTCTCTAAATTCATCTGTAGGTGAAGGGGATTCTGTAGTTAAAAACATGAAAGACAATTGATCAGAAATACGCTAGACCCAAAGTTAATGAGTTTGCTTAATTTTTATTCACTCATTTAGTTCAAAGTAATCACCTGTCAACCAAAAGAACTGTATGAGAAACAGGGGAACTTACACCCGCCCAGTCTAAATGGACTGTTGATTCTTGGGCTTCCTCGGCTAGCGTTTGAGTCAACCTCAGTAGACTCTATGGAGTATGTTTCCAAGAATCTGTATTTTTTTCAGTCCATTTGGACTTTGGGATTTCTTGGCATTCTCAAGCAAAGATTTCCCTGCTCTCCTGACAGAGGTATGAGAAGGTATGCCCTTACTGTTCAGGTTCCACCCTGGTGTTAACATTCAAATTCAATGGATGCTGACAAGTTCTTTGGTAAATAATAAGAAAAATACAGAAGATCTCTCAGTCGTTTTTATTATCTCTTTTTTTTTTTTTTTTGTAGTTTGGGGCTTTTTTTACACAAACACATGAGTAACCTAATTAAACAGATCACAGGCTACAACCAATGCACATCACGTACTGCCAATAAAACATGAGAAGATTGATTCTTTGGTAAAGGACAAGTTACCGAAGGCACAAATGCTAAGATATGCTGCCTGTGATTTCTGAGCTGGAAAATATTTGATAAATGAGTATTCCGTACTCTTTTTTTCCACATCATTGATGATATAACAGAACTTAACCTGTTACGTTTCTCAACACCGTTGCCCTTGGCTTTATCTTTTCCAGAAAAGGAGGAAGGATGTAAGGCCAATTAATCTGTTCTCTTAACGTAAGTATTTCTTCCTTTCTTATTATTTGATCCATAAACACTTTTCCCTTACTCTTATTCCTCCCTCTTCCCTAGTCCCAAAAATAAAGTTAAATTTTATAGACTTAGTAAGGAAGAAAAAAATTAAAGAATTCAAGCAATTTCTGGCATTTTGCTGTGAAATAATTCTCTGCTCTACCAAAATGTTTCTATCAGGCCTTCAGCTAGCACATTATATACTGTTCCAACTTCTGGTTTCAGCTAAGAACTTGACAGTCTTCAGTGTAGCTTTGCTAAAAAAGTTATTTTTCTTTACACTGGCATTTGATTCCAGCCATGTGAATGTTCAAAATTACTTAGGATGTCTATTTCAGTGCATCTTCTGGTTTGTGAGATCTTTGTTGTGATTTTATGTCAACATTTGTCTATATTCATGCCCCCTCAAATTATATCTTATCCTACAGAGGTACCTGAATTTTATCTTTCTATCCATTAAATTACTAAACACTTAAGGTCTGTTCTTCATTCTCTTACATTTTCAGTAGTTAACGTATTATATGTAAGAGGGGTCAAACCTTTACTGTGTTTAAAGTTCATATAAAATGCTGTCATTTTGATTTTAATAGTATTTTACTGTTCACTATAGGCTCTGGCTGGTATGGATCTTAGAAATGTCATTCTGAATTTGGAATAATATGATAATTGCTCACAATCATTTACCAAAATAAAACTCTGGGCTCCCCAATACAGATGTAAGGGGTGGAATGAGAAAAAAAAAACAACTGAAGAGCTAAACACCATTTATAAGAAGGAAGCTTTCATTGTGTTAATTTTCAGTTACATGAACTCATCATCTGTTTTCCAGATCAGATCATTTAAATTCAGAGGCTGATAAAGAGAATACTGTAACTGAAGATGCTCTCAGCTCTTTTTGTTCTCTCTTAGGTTTGATACCTGTGGCCATTTTTTACACAGACACATGAATAAGCTAATTAAATAGATCACTGTCCACAATCGATGCACATCATGTACTGCCAATAAGACACAAGAGGATTGACTCTTTGATAAAGGACAAGTTCCTGAATGCACAAGAAGCTAAGCTGGGCAGACTCTGCAAGTTCTATGCTGGAAAACGTTGCCTACGAATTAAAATACATGGACTGAGCATAATATCTGGGTTTCGGAAGCTGATTTGAATAAATCAGTCTCTGCAAATTAAATCACAACAGATTTCTTTTCTGAGGTTATGAGATGATCAAGTAACTTAACTCTAGTTTGTCTCTCACTGCAAATAGAAGGGAGTAGAAAGGATTTTCCTTGTGTCCTCTCTGTCCAAGATCAAGTAAAAGTATGAACACTTTTTACATGATGATTTGCCTCCAATCAGCAAAACTTTGCAAGCCTATTGGCTTAGTTAATTTGAGTTAGAGAAGAAATTCAGTATACACAGAACATTTTGCATATATAAATGATAGCAAGCAACCTGGCCATACCTGTACAAGGAACAGCAAATGTTTTCAGTATATTCAGAAGAATAACATCCCAAGCATAGTATTATAGCTATTATGGTATAGGCGAAGGTATAAAAAAGAATCTATTGGATGCAGAACAACAACCATGCGCTGATGAGTGACACAAGTTAGCAATAACAACTCTGTCCATACTGTTAAATAAAGCAGCACCAGGAAACAAATGAGCATTTGTACTGCTTAAGTTTGTCCCTGTTCTGGTTTTGGCACATGCCTATTAGGTTTCTTATACCATGCACTGGCAGTTTGGGTTCTAGCACCTTTCGGAGATCACTCCCAGTAGGGAGTATGGATAAGACTGCATGCGACTGGCTCTCCATCTTAACCCGCAGGTTTAGATCTTTGAAGACCTCTGTGTCCTCATGCTAAACCCAGTGCATATGCACAGTTTCACATACACAAAACTGCTTCTGCTTGTCTACAGCACAGTTCTTCCTGTATTAAAACACTTTGAACTGATAAAGATACACAAAAGGTAAAAATTCCACCTTAGGGTCACTGGGCATTACACTGGGCCCTGAGCAAACGTAGCGCCAAGCACACATAGTCCAGGGAAGGTGAAACTCTGCCTCAGGGCCAGAAAACTGGACGTAATTTTACTCATCAGTGCAGGTGAAGGCAGTTTCCAACTGACTTGGTATTCTCAGGTGCAGGGCTAGACTATCCTATAGCACTGCAGCCATGGGCTTAACTCCTCAGGAGCTCTAGTGTTAGTCCCTGCCTTATGTGCAACATGCTTGGATGTGTCAACGTGGTCCAACAGACTGTTACTGTATTCAGACACTGCTCCTCAGTGAACAGGGATGGATTTGGAATAACCTGGCTTAGACTGAGCCTGCGTTTAAAAGTGCTTCTTGGTGTGAAACCATTTGTGCTTCAGCTGTCACTTTCAAAAGCCCACAGGTGCATCTATGCGAGAACTTATCACCACTGTGATTTATTAACTGCTAAATTCCCTGTTAATGTGCTTGAAAGGTAAACATTCAGCCCTGAAAAAGCAGCAGAGTCTGTTTTCTTTATTCAGTGTACTGGGATTGCAGTCTTCAGAATTTTTCTGATACAATAATATACATAAAATTCAGTCACCAGGCATCTGTCTTCTGCTTGATTTTCAGCTAATTCTCAGCCCACCATGCAAAACCCCTGTAGATGTTGGGGAGGACAGCAATTAATGTTTGCTTTATAGTGGGACTTGCAGGGGGATGCTTGATGGGCCATGTTGTTTCACATCTCAACCACGAAGAACTCTCTCTGGCCTCATCTAGAGAGTGGTTGGTTGACTTCACCAGTTTTATATACAAAAGAAGAACCTTTTAGGAAAGGATGTAGAGATGTTTGGAGATGTTTGGATTTAATACCTTCCTAATTTTATTTTGAAAGGTTTATTTGTCATTTGTAGGATGCAGTTGAACATATAGGCCCTGAAAAAAATTGCACAGAAGTCACATACAGCCTTAGATGCTACAGCGTTCTTAATGCTTTTACATATTTTTATTGATTTGTCTTTCTTTAAAATAGACAATTACTGCTTTTTAATGAGGAACTTCCAAAATTTGTTTATTCAGTAGTAATCACTGAGACAGCATAATTCCATAGTAAAGGCTTTTGACAACTTAAATGATAATTTAGATGTGTATAACTTTGTACTTATCATGGAACAGAAGATTTATGAGATAGTGTATTGAACAGTGCCCATCCATCCTTACTAAAGTTCTTAGGCAAACTCCTTCATTATCTCACTTTGGAAATTAGTAAAATTTGACTATTTCAGTCAAACTGTCAATTAAAGCTCATATGGAAATACAATTGCTTTGTTTATATTTGACTCTAAGCTGTCATTAAAGATGATATGACTTGCATCAGTTTTTCTTCAAATTACACGGACAATTAAACCTCATAATGTTAATTGTGATTATCTTTAATAATGTGTTTGTATTTACATAGTATCACTAGCAAAACCATTTTCTATGTCTATGAGAGCTTAATTTTTTATTGCACATTACTAGCTCCTGTTTTATAAACCAGTCATGATCAACTGACTTCAGTGTTTACTGGGTAAAGAACAGGCCTCGAATCCTTAATTTCTGACTAATCACCTTCGGATCAGATACCAACATTCTTTCCACTGACTTTCAGTGGGCTTTGGACCAAGCCATTCATGGAATATTAAGCTTTACATGGTCTGATGTATTTCACTCCCGTACATCAGCAGAGATTGTAACGACTGACTTGCTTTCTGCATCCCAACCAGAGCAGTTTTACAGTTTCATTGCCTGAGACACCTGAGATAGCAGGTTCATTTAACAACTGAAACACGACTTGCATTTCATTAATGTAGTATTTTTCAAGCCTCCATTTCAGTAGTCTGTAGACCCATCCTTAGCCCTTGTAAATCTTGTGAGCGTGAACACCTGGAGCTGGACTGACTTACACCCTGAAGGATCTGGCCATTTCTCTCTTCAACCAAATTTGTAATGCTAATTAGGCATGGTCACAGGGACATTTTATTTGACATTATGATAGCTTCATTAGTAGAGTTAAAGGCATATATGTGAATATTCTTTTGCTAACTGTGTAAACGTAAATAATATACAGAAAATATTATTCCCCTCTGACTCCTGGGGGAAAAGGCAGTGTTCAAATATATATTTATGATAAGAAACACAAAAGAGAAAACAGGCTGTATAATTACAG